CTATTAATTCATCTGTTATCACTGAAGGAAACTTTAGGAAGTAGTTCATTTTTTTCCCCTCTATGCAATTAGAAATTTCTGTAAATTACAAAAAAAAGTTATGAAAAGTATCGATTATAAAAGTTCCCTATCCATTTCCTTTCTGTGCCTTTATAAATGAGTCCAGAATAATAAAAAAGATATTAGTCATTTTTAAAGAAATTCTCTTTCCCTGTGACAAACTTTCTTTTCGTCAGCATTCAATAATTCACCTGAGTTGGCTAAGTATCAAAACAAGCCAGAAGCTAAGAAGCCGAACTAATGGAACTAAGTCATCTCATGGGAAATTATTTGGTTCACTTAGGGCTCTTTTAGCAATGTGGATCAAAAAGTGACCAGCACCATTTTAAGGAGAGCTTTTAATTTTACATGTAGGGAGGTAATTGAAAGACAGAAAAAAAAAAACCTGACCTAAAAAATAAAGTATGTATTAGCATTATCCTTTAATTTTCTAAGCCTTTGAATCAAAGGACACTGATGCCTGTGTGAACATTTTATTATTCTGAATATTATCCATTTACTATTTTGAATATTATTCCTTTACCATCAGGCTTCCATGTTCCTATAAAATACAACCCTTTCTATGCAACCTATTTTGCCAACTTTGCAGGCTGGGGTAAATCTGAATCTTTTGGCTTTTTATCCTAAAAATTAATTGGAAAATCATATCACTCTGATCTCATTGACGGTATAAGTCTTATCTGCTTTAGCTCTATATGATGCCCTTCATTAATATACTAATAAATTAAAGCATGTTTTATTTAGAAAATAGTTTTTTATGCTGGGTGAAGATCTAAGTATTCATTATTTATAGAAATTACTTCCCAATTTATCCTTAGATTCGACTCTAAGCAAAGCCTGGAAATCACCTCTAAGTTGCCTCTTTGTTTCACTGCCACACCTCTAGCCACCTACCACCCACCAGTCCCCATTTCTTCCCACAGAACAACCAGATAGATCTTCTAAACTTCCAAATGAGGTTATATTATTCCACAATTAAATACTCTCTGCCATCGACTGAACACGTCCCCCCAACCCCGAATCACATGCAGAAGCTCCAATTCTCAGTGTTCTGCATTTTGGAAATGAGGTGAGGTGTTTGGGAGGCAATCAGGTCAAGAGGGTAGACCCCCCCCCCCCCCATGAATGGGATGCATGTCTTTATAAGACGAGACGGGGAGAGATGATCTCTCTAGAGGTGAGCACGCAGTGAAAAAGAAGGCAGCCATCTGCAAACCAGGAAGAGGTTCCACACCAGGAACTGAATTGGTCAGTACCTTAAACTTGGACTTCTCAGCCTCTAGAACTGTGAGAAGTAAATTTCCATTGCTTATGCCACAGTAACCTGCTGTAGCAGCCCAAGATGACTAAGACCCTCTTCAATGGCTTTCTGTGGTTCTTAGAAGTGTTCCTAAAAAGGGCCCTGCCTATATGAACTGACTCTAGCCTGCTTCATATCATCATTCTCCCGACCCCCACCCCGGCCCCTCTCTCTCTCTCTCTCTCTCACTTATTTTGCTCCAGCTATACTGTCCTTCAAATACCTTACACGTTGAGCTTTCTCTAGCTTGTTTTGCCTTCCGAGAGATTCTTACTCCAGATGTTACCGAGGCTGGCTCCTTCTTTTTTTTCAAGCCTAAATTCAAATGTCATCTTTCTCAAAGTCTTCCTTACCATTCAGTATAAAATAAAACTCTTTCAGCAGACCAGGAGTAACTATTTATTATAGAAACCTGTTGTATTTGCTCCAGAGTACTGCATCACAAGTTGAGGTTTTCATATTTGCATTTCTTTAAATTTGTTTTCTGTCTTCCCCAACTGAAGGGCAAGTTTTTAATAAGTCAATATAAGGAGGACAAATTTAAGCTGACTGGAGCTCGCTCAAAATTTTCCATTGTGTTACAAGTTATTATCTTGGAAAGATTTGTGTTTTCTTTGGAGTGGACGCTGTATCAGACTGGGCCAAGCTAGAAAATATAGACTAATGTATTTCAAATAGAAAAACTTTAATGTAGAGCACTGGTTATAAAGTTCATTGCCAAGGAAATCATGAAGCATTCTAGAGATTAATCATTATGTGTAGGAAACACCTCTAAAACCAGACAGTCAAAGGGAGGGAGTTACTGAAACTGAGATTGTGAAAGATGGAGTTTGGCAGGCTTATTTGGTGGAGGCAGGGCTTAACTGGAAAAAGCTGAGTCATAAATGAAATGCAGTTAGAAACTCAGCAGAGGGAGGTGCTGGGGGTGGGGGAGGTAGGGAAATTAGGAGGGAGGGGGAGGGGGAAGGAAAAGAGAGGAGGAGGATGAAAAGGAATGAGGGGAGGGAGGGAGAAAGGAATAGGGAGAGAAGAAAGGCTTGTGTTCCTGCTTTCCTGTCTTTGGCCAGTGGAAAGCTCTGGCCAAACCTATCCAGGAAAGCAGAGAGCAAAGAGCCTGGGAAGTATAGTTCTCTTGGGTACAGAACAAAGCACAGAAGAGCTGGGGATGCACAGCACTTAATACAATTGCATAACATGTGTGCTGACAAGAAAGCATTCCACCACAAACTACAATCTGAAATCTCTCCTAAGAATTCCCAGCTATTTCCAAGACCCTCTACTATAAAACTTCACCTTGGGTATTTTGCCATACCTTTTCTAAAGGATTTGTGCAATCAATTTAAGAAATGGTTTCAGATTAGAACAATTATGATGCACCATGTGCTCCAGAACCACACACACATAGAATTTTCCAGACCAATAGCTGAGAAAGTGAGACTTGCCCTTATGTTTGTCATTGACACAAGGATACATTATGAAAATGGTTTCTTTTAGATTTCTGTAAAGGTTAGGAGTTTTCAGTAGCAAGTAACAGAGAATTTTATGGGCTCAGACAAGGCAGGATCCAGGATTTAAACAGAACAAATATTGTTCTGCTTCTTCATCTTTTTTTTTCAGTTGGAGTCCTTCTTATGTTAGCTTCTTTCTCCGTCTCTCTCTCCACATTGGGAAAGATGGTCTCCATGAGCCCAAATGTAGTCTATCTCCTTATGACTTGTGAAACAGAAGAAAGACAAATCGTCCTATAATCTGCACCAACTACTGGAGAAGATTATGACCTGGGTCAGCTGTGGAGGCCATAAAAGAAACTTAGAGTGACCGTCAACCCTATCAAGACGGTCTGGAGTGGGGGAAAGTGATTCCTCTTCAAAAACCAGACGTCCCACTAATCCCCCAGCACTATTCTTCCCAGTAGACCTCTCTGAAAACCGGAGCATAAAAGCATTGCCACGCATACTTGCTGCCTCTGGTTAGGAAAACCAAAAGTCGCCAAAAGCAAGGTATCAGAAATCAAGAGTTGAGGCCAACATTTCTTTTTGATGTTTACATGTTCCCCGAAATATGGCTCAAAGCAATGGGTAACTTAAGTAGTTGTCTCAGAAGCTCACAAACGAATTGCCCGGGGTGGGGGTGGGGGTGGGGGTTCAAAAATATTCGGTCTGACCAACCAGCTGGACATAAGGATGCTCTTTTTGAACTAAGGAAGCAACATTCTGAGAGGAAGTGACTGAAATCAACTCGTGTTCTGTTGAAAGGTCTCTTGGCCTTTCCCTTGGTATTTACTTCCATACATAACCACCATGGACATGTATCCTCTTTCACCACAGCAAGCTGCGTTTAAAACATCGGTAGAAATAATGCACTGTGGAGTCTGTCTAAGGTTAGTGGTTATAAATTACCCTAGGTAAAATGGAACATAAGCAATAAGCTAATCTGCTGAGGTTTCAGATACTGTATCTAAAAACTATGAAAAAAAAATTCCAAAGTTGTCAAAGGATCTTCATTTACTTGTTTCGAAACTGTTAAAAATGACTCTTTCTCTGTTGTTTTTACCCTCTTCTTTTCAGGAACACAGACGTGCTTGGAGAATCAGTACAAATTCCCTACTTTCTTTGCATGTTTGCATTTTTACTTGAAGAGCTCTCTTTTCTATTGCTGGCTAGAACGAATAAGGCCCTTTTTTCCCTTTCTCTCTGTTCCCAGGTTCCTCCCTAGACTTCTTTGGCAAACTGCAGAACACCTGTGAAACCATGCTGGATAAGGGATGTCAGATTTTTGAAATCAGATTTGTCATTGATTTTGTAATAGAAAAGTTACTAAGCCATGTTGAGTCTCAGTTTTTAAACTATAAAATTGGGGTGAATATACTACCTCATGAGATGAATGGTAGAATTAAAGCAGAGAGCAGGTACAAGTTCACAATACCCAGTTACTAAGATCACTTAGTAACTGTTACTGTTTATAAGGGATGATGTTTGAGATATAGTCAAAGATTCCTATTTTCTTTATTCAGGACAACAGGTGGTTGTATAATTACAAAGCAGTAACACCAGGTATTGTGTTCTGATATATAATCTTACTGTTAGAAATCAGGATTTCCAAATTGCTTCAGGCTGATTGAAAAGCTTACGGATATTCCAGACAATGAAAAGTAAAAATGCAGTAACCTGCTTCTTCAAAGACATATGCATCTGATGCAGATTCTGTCTTAAATTAGTCAAAAATGGAGCACACAATGTTATTTTTCAGGTAAGCTGATAGATGCTTAAAATTGTAAATTTCTTTGCTTTTACCTTGTTTGGGGAAGAAAATTCTTTTTATCATTATCCTTGCCATCACATTTCTGCATTTTCCCTAAGTTTTTAGTAGAAGATGCATGAGAATGTGCCCATCCTTTTTTATCTCTAGATGATGTTTTCAATAGCAAGCACCATAATTGAGTTCAGGTGGCTGCCTTGAATGAGATAAATCTTGAATGAGATTAAGATGAATGACAGCACTGCTGGCCAAAGTCCCACTGTCCCAGAAAGAAATGAGAAATTAATGGACTCAACACCCGTTTTGTGTGATTAAAAAAAAAAAATGTTCAAACACACGCTATGAACATTTCCGTGAAAAACTTCCTACCTTCCTTTCGTACCTTTAATATCCCCATACTCCTGGGATCAACCATGTAGAACCAGAACCGAACAGCACATATTCCGAGACTTGCTGGAAAGTACTGGGAAGTAGAGATTCTTGCCATGTGTCCTTCTTTGTGTCCAGATGAGCTGACATATAGGAAGTGCCGGCCGCTCCCTTGAAATAGACAAATACAACTCCTTCAGCACAACGATAGGTGTCATAGCATGAGGCAGAACATATTTAAACCATGAGCAAACTGCATGCCTCCCACCCACACACAAACAAACACAACTCATTTTCTTTCTGTGGAGTCACAAATCAATAATGTTTCATTCTTTTGACCCAAAAAGAAAAAACAAGAAGAAGAGGAAGAGAAAGAAGAAGGAGGAGAAGGAGAAGGAGAAGAAAGAATGTCATGTAATCACTGTGATTACATGATTCACAAAGTTCACCTGAGTATGTGACTCTTACTGAAAGTGATCAAATATCTGAGCTCACTCTTTAGGTACATTTCTTTTCTTCTACTTTGCTCAAACCTGTCTGCCCATTTCAAGTAAGGAAAATATTTTGTATACTGTGTGTAGAGCAGGGACATGGGGTATTGGAGGCTGATTGATAGTGTATCTCATTTCCAGTTTTTCTGATTCCCACAATGAGCACAGTAGTAGCGAATGGCAGTAAGAGTGAATGAAATGTAAACTTGAAAGTCACCATGCTGAGCGATAACTTCTATTCTCCTCAACTGCAGCCATACATGAAAGATCTCTCCATTTAAACACAAATGGATTTTTTTCTACAGACATCATTGTCAAAATTCATCATAACTACTATCCTCTGCATGGCTTTTATTAGGAAAGAATGAAGATAGATAGAAAGATAGATAGAATGATTTTCAGTGCTAGCATATAATAAAGTAAATGACATTGTGTACTAATATATATATATATGTGTGTGTGTGTGTATACACACACACACACACACACATATATATATGCTTTCTTAGGTTAAATGTTTATTTACAGTTTTAAATCAAAGCTATTAAAATATTTTCTAATTAAAATATTCTCCCCCCCGACATTTTAGTACTGTTACTGAGACATATGGTTTGTAATCATCAATTGTACATTAATAGTACAAGAGGCTTCTTTTATGAAGCTTTCCTATTGAAGAACTTGTCAGGTGAATTCAGTATTCTCTGAGGAATCAGTATATATGTTGTGACCTTTATTCCTATGGCACTGTATTCTTCAATGCAAGGAACACTCATGCATTACTCCCTTGAATAGAGTTAAGAACAGAAGTAGCAAAAAAAAAAAAAAGAAAAAAAAAGAAAAAAAAAAGAACAGAAGTAGCCCAAGAGAATTGCAAAAGAGAGTTAGATGATCACATTCACACCCTCTAATGGGTTAACTTTTTGCCTGTTCATGTTCACAAATACCATTATTTCACCAAATGGATTGCCAGTAAATATAAATATGTGGTTAATAAGACAGACTGGTTGGAGTCCTCATGAAGTCACTAAGGGGTTGCTTGTTCTTCTATCCACTTAAAAAAAGAGAGTTGCAAGAAATTACAGAGTTCCAACCTCCCCACTACATGGAATTTGCCTAGTATTAACACTTTGCATTAGTGCAGTACTTTGTTACATTCAATGAATGAGCCTATACTGATGCATTATTATTGACTGAAGTCCATAGTTTACATCAGGGTTCATTCATTCCCTTGTGTGTTCCACGGGCTCTGACGAATGTACGACATGTCCACCACTGCCCTGTTGTGCAAGAGAGAGTTTCTGTGCTCTAAGATCTCCCGCGCAGCCCCTCTCCATCTCTTCCTCCCACTCTCCCCCATCAAATGCCTGGCAACCACTGATCTTTTTACTATATCCATTGGTTTCTCTTTTCCAGAGTATGATATGCTTGTAATAATATAGTATGTAGCCTTTCTAAGTTAGCTTCTTTCACTTAACAATATGCATTTAAGGATCTTCCATATCTTTTTTGTGGCTTGATAGCTTACTTCATTTTATCACTTAATAAAATTCCTTTGTATAGATGTACCACAGTGTGTTTATCCATTCACCTATGAAGGACATCTTGGTTTCTTCTAACTTTTAGCAATTATGAATAAAGTTCCTATAGCAACTGTGTGCATGCTTCTGTCTAAGCTTAAGTTTTCATTTGTGTATATACCAAGGAGCACAACTGTTGGATCTTATGGTAAAAGTATGTTTAGTTTTTTAAAAAATGCCAACTTGTCTTCCAATGTTGGCCATACCATTTTGCAGCCCCATCAACAAGAAAGGAGAGTCCCCTGTCCTCTTTATCCCCATCAGCATTCATGTTGTTAGTGTTTTGGATTTTAGTTATTATACTAGGTATGCAGTGGTATTTCATTTCAACTCAATGTCATTTCAATGTGCATTTTCCTGATAACATATAATATGGAGCATTTTTTCTTATACTTATTTGCCATCTGTCTATGTTCTACAATAGGTATCTGTTCAGATCTTTTGTCTATTTTTTTACTTTTTTACTGTTAAGTTTTAAGCATTCTTTTTACATGTTGGACACAGTCCTTTCTCAGATATGTGTTTGCAACTATTTTCTCCAAGTCTGTGGCTTACGTTTTATTTTTCTTAATAGTGTCATATGCAGAGTGGAAATTTTAATTTTAATGAAGTGCAACTCAGCAATTTTTTCATTCACAACTCAAGCTTTTAGTATTGTATCTGAAAATTCATCACCAAACTTAGAGTCACCTAAATGTTCTCCTATTTTGTCTTCTAGGAGTTTTACAGTTTTACATTTTACTTTAAGATCTATAATCCACTTTGAGTTAATTTTCATGAGAGGTTTAAGTTCTGTATCTAGATTTTTTTTTCATATGGATGTCCAGTTGTTCTAATACCATTTATTGAAAAGACTATCCATTCTTTGTTGAACTGCCTTTGTTCATTTGTCAAATATAAGATGATCTTACTCATATGGGTGTATCTCTGAGCTCTCTGTTCTGTTCCATTTCTCTATTTATCTATTATTTTTCCAATATTACACTGTCTTAATTACTATAGCTTCATAGTAAGTCTTGAAATAAGGCATTATACTTCCTCCAACTTTGTTTTTTTAAATACTTCAATATTTTGTTGGCTATTTTGAGTCTTTTGCCTCTCCATATAAACTTTAGAATCAGTTTGTTGCTTTCTATAAAATTATGTGCTGGAATTTTGATTGGAATTACCTTGTACATATACATCAAATTGGGAAGAATGGACAGCTTCAAAATACTTATTCTTCCCGTCCACAAACATGGAATCTCCCAGTTTATTTAGATCTTTGATTTCTTTCATCAGAGTTTGTATTTTTTCTCATGTAGAACCTGTAATTATTTGTTATATTTATACTTAAGTATTTCTCTCTCTCTCTCTGGTATTAATATAATCATTGTGTTTTAAATTTCAAGTTCTAATTTTTCAGGGCTAGCATATAATAAAGTAAATGGCATTTGTGTACAAACCTTGTATCTGACAACATTGCTATAACTGTTTATTAATTCCAAGAGTTTTCTTCATGGTATATAACTGCATGTCATCTGCAAACAAACACAACTTTATATCTTTCTTCCTAATCTTTTGTTTTCCTCACTTGCCTTATTGTATTAGCTAGGACTTCTAGGATGATGTTGAATATGAGTGGTGAGAACAGACAACCTTGTCTTACTCTGCTCTTACCAGGAAAGTACCTAATTTCTCACAATTATAAATGTTTGCTGTATGTTTTCTGTAGATATCTTTTTTCAGCTTTACTGAAGCATAATTGACAAATACAATTGGAATTCACTTAAAGTGTACAACATGATGATTTGACATTTGTACACACTTTGAAAGGATTCTCACAAATGAGTTCATCCATGCATCACCTCACATATTTACTTTGTGTGTGTGTATGTGTATGAGAATGCTTAAGATCTACTCTCACAGCAAATTTCAAGTATATAATAAGAGTATTATCAACTACAGTCACCATAAAAATATGGAATATATCACAAATTCATGTGTCATCCTTGTGTAAGGGCCATGCTAATCTTCTCTGTATCATTTCAGTTGCAGTATGTGCTGCAGGAGCAAGACATTCTTTATCAAGTTAGAGATGTTCACCCCTGTAAGCAATTTCTTTGTTACAAGCTTGTTTAGATTATCTATTTCTCATGTGATTTTGGTTGCTTGTGTCTTTGAAGGAATTGGTCTACTTAGATTACCAGATTTGTGGGCACTTAGTTGTACATAATATTTTTCTATTATCATTTTAGTGTCTATTATCATTTTAGTATCATTTCTATTATCATTTAGTGTCTATTATCATTTTAGTATCATTTAAGTAATGATGGTTCCCCCTTTTATTTCTGATAATTAGCAGTTTGTGTTTTCTTTTCTTTTGAGGTTTATGTATCTAGAGGATCTTCAATTTTATTAATCTTTTCAACAAACTAGATTTTCATTTTGATTTTACCTATGATTTATTTTATTTATTTTTATAATTTCAAGGTTTTACTTAAATTCAAGTTAGTTAACGTAACAGTGTAATATTAGTTTCAGGAGTAGAATTTAGTGACTCATCACTTACATAGAAGTCATCAAATGTGCCCTCCTTAATACCTATCACCAATTAACCCATCCCCCCACCAACCTCCCCTTCAGCAACCCTCTTTGTTCTCTGTAGTTAAGAGTCTCTTACAGTTTGCCTCCCTCTCTCTTTTCCCCCTATGTTCATCTGTTTTGTCTCCTAAATTCCACATAAGTGAAGTCATATAGTATTTGTCTTTCTCTGACTTCTTTCGCTTAGCATAATACACTCTAGCTCCATCCACATTCTTGCAAATAGCAAGATTTCATTACTTTTTATGGCTGAGTAATAATCCATTATCTACCTATCTATTCATCCATTTCACGTTTTTTTATCCATTCATCAGTGGATGGAAATTTGGGCTCCTTCCATGATTTGACTATTGTTGACAATACTCCTATAAACATCAGGGGACAGGTGCCCCTTCGAATTTGTATTTTTTAAAATTTATTTATTTGAGAGAGAGAATGAGAGAGTGAGAGACAGCAATCACAAGCAGGGGGAGGGGCAGAGGGAGAGAGAGAATCTCAAGCAGACTCCCTGCTGACCATG